AACCGCATAGTATCAAAACCGACGTTTAAATTTTACCAAAAAACTAATGCCATTCAAAGATTAAATTTAAACATATTAAAAATTGTTTCCAGATCATCCATGGATTTACTGGTATTTGAACTTGAAAACTCTATAATTAATAAGTAATCATATATTATGTTTATATTTATAGATAAATAAAAGCTTTGAGAAAATTTTTGGCATTGTCAATAATGGTCTTTGAGATTTCATTATGAATGCAATAATATTTTGCTATATCCAGCGTCTACATGACAGGATTTTTACTGGATGCGCAAACCCCCTTTACAACCTTTGCCCACCCCCCTACAAAATTCCCACCGCCTTCGGCGGCGTGTCTCATTATCATTATTTTCACCTATTTATTTATTGATACTCTTTTCAAAGAATTTATAAAGGATAACTTAAATTAATCTATCTCTACTATTAACTATCTATATTTTGTGAATATAAAGAATTTATTTTTTAAATAATAAAGAATTTATTTTTTAGATAATAAATTCAATTAAAACCTCCATTATTTACAATGAATTAATTATTATGCCATTATGAGCTTTCTGAAATACCTAAACCTTTTAAATTACATTTAAAATGATAGTTTATTTGGAAAACAATGTGTGTGATTGTTTGCAATATATAAATTTGGTCGATGTATTGTATTATAATAATACTATAATAAAAATATTAATTTTTGCAGCAATAAATTTTGTCCTATTTCATCTCAAAATTTAATAGATAATCCCCCAAAAAATTTATCCTACCCCAATTAAAGCAACCTACCCCCTACCCCCTCAAAAAAATAGGATGCAAACTGTTCCTACCCCTCCCGCTCATGTAGACGCTGGCTATATCTTTAAAAATCTTTGTTATTTTATCATATATATGACTACCAGTCATTCATTTACAAGCCAACACTTCATTTTTTCTTTCCACACTTGTTGGATCTATATAGTGTGCAGTGACTCCTGTGAATGAACTACAAATTAACATTTCTTAAAACTGTTCAAATAATTTATTCTTAATTAATTATTATACAAATTTAAATGTTAGCTGTACCTGCGATAGGCACTCCAACAATCTGCTGTTGTACATATTAGCGATGGTTCTATTAGGCTTTTTATGATTTCTTTATTTTTATCTTCCCATCTTTGGAAAATTCTACCAACCACTGTCTGTCGAAAAATTATATTTTTTTTGTGGAGCTAATGTTTTGATAATTTTTATATATGAAGGATTTTCAACAATTAAAAATGGCTGAATGCCTGCTAATAAAAGTAGTTATTAAATTATCTAAAATGGTTTCGATTAAAGTCTGAGGTCTCTTGGCAATAATATCAGTGGACGATGAGTCTAGTACAACATTTTCTTTAATAGATTTATTATCATTCCCCTTTTTATTTTTATTAACAGTGTTTGATGTTTTTTCTTAAAATTTAAAATTACAATTGTAAATATTTATTTAGTATCTATACCCTTAAATGTTTTACAACGTTGCAAGTTGAGGTAAAGTTAAATAAAATTTTAGAATTTTTTGGTAGACATGTCGAACATATTACTATCAGAGATTTGCTTTCTTTATTTTGAGATATTATTTTAAAATATCTATATAAATTGGCCATGGAAAAACATGTATAAACTTGTTGATGCCTCATTATTATTTTCTTCCTCCATCACTATTACTATTAAAAAAAAAATTTAAATTAGTATAATAAAATTAAATAAACCAATTTCATTGAAAATAAAAATGGCAGATTCTTTGAGATGGATTATAATATCGAAATTTGCCTAGTTTATTAATAAAGTCGGACATAATATTTAATGAATATTTTTATATATTTTTTTATATATGTTTTAATATTTTATATTATAATTTTTTGTTATAGTAGTCTTAATATTTTTTAATATATATATATAAGTTATATGCTCATATGAAATAAAATAATGCATTTAAGTATTTTTATTTATAATATAAAAAAGCATTAAATAAACAGTATCTAAAAACGGATATAGGTACTTTTAAAAAATCTATCTAGGTACAGATACCACATTTTTATAACTAAATACTTGTATCTATATTCTTTAACAAATCTGTGAATAAGGCAATTGAATGTAACAAATTTCCGTATTTTTAGCAGCAGGTTGTTAAAATTTTGGCAAGCCAGAGCTTATTGAAACTATTTATCTTAAATGCCATATATATTATTAAAAAATATTTTTAGCTTTCACCCTATCGGGGGGTAATCTCCTTAATCAAATTTATATTATAACGATTTATATAGAGTAAGTATTGTGGAATAACCTGGATGAAATTAACTATTAAGAAGAAACATATAGCCATTCGTTACTTGTTTAGAAGGTAGCGTGTAAGATGTTTTCTTTTTTTGAGTAACGGTAACGCGAAACTTTACTCGTAAATTTTCCTAAAGGAAAATAATATTTTATTTTTTAAAAAATATTATGATATATTTATGCCGAGTTTTAATTTAGATCAGTCACAAAAGTTTTTCATTTTGGATTAAATTTTTTACATTTTTATTGTTATATTTTGTACAGTCCTTGTCAATCTAATTAATATTAAATCAATCAAGATATTGTCGGTCTAGAAATAGAATGATCCTCTTTATATTTTTAAAATTTTTGAGTTAGAAGTTGAATTTAATTGATTAATAGTGGCCATGTGTTTTTTCATGCAATGTGTTATCTTTTCAATTTTAAATAATCATTTTTAAGCGCGTTATTTAAAATTTAAAAATATGATCTTACCTAAAATGTATTTCAGCATGTCTAGAATGCCTACTCTATGAATTCTAAAGATTAACGTTGAAAAAATAACACATTGCCGAAAAAAATTGTTGCTAACATCTATATATAATTTGGTTTTTTATAGTATTGTTACCTCTGTTTATTTCACGTTTATTTAAAAATTCCTAAAGTGTTTATTTTGCTCCATTTGTATTTTAATTTTATTATAAATTTCTCACAAAAATTTGTGAGTAAAATTTTTATATGAGTAAAAGCAGATATTTTGTATCCACTATAAAAAGTATAATGTGTCTGGGGAATATAAATTTTTCTTATTAATAATAGTAAAATATATATAAATAATAATTTACTAATCCTTTATGCTCTGATATACATTTACAATAAACATAAATAAAATTATAAAATATTTAAAAAAAATTAAAGTAGAAAATTATAAAGTACCGCCAAAATAATAATTGTGTAAAAATATTTACTAGAAAAAAAATTAATGATTAACATTATTTCTAAAACAAAATTATTTTCTTTTAAATTTATCCTCTTCAATAAATTATCTCAAAAAACTTTAACCAAATAAATTCTTCATGTAAATATACGAAAAAGTAAATTTACATATAATTAATCACAACAATAGGCTATCATTTAGAAATAGTATTCTAAATTATCTAGCAATTTTTATATTATATTAATATTAATTTATAAGTTTTTTTTTGAATCTAAACTTTGTTAATTTAAATTCTCTGATATTATAATTTATTTTATAAAGAATTTATGTCAATAATACTAATTTTTTTAGATGAAGATGATTTAAAATTTCCCAGACCCAGCATGAAATATTTTTTATAACAATAAAGAAAATCAAGGACAGTCTACACTTTGTAGGTGTAGATTGTGCCGTAAATCAAATATTTCAACCTTCACTTTTATGAATGGCAGGGCTCAAAGGATCATTGATGAAATCCCTCAACTACTTGAAAGTCGATTAATCAACCCGCGCTATTTTGGGTAATTGTCATTGGGTATATAAACATGTTTTGAATTATATTTATATATTTTTCAAGTACATTTTAGCGGCTTAGTTCTAAATTCATTTCATTGCGTCCCTACCCTCGTATTCTAACTTGCTTATCCTAGAGCATTGTAGTCAAAGCACAGATGACACCGTTCCCAACTCCAAGACAGGGAACTCAATTTTTATGGATGCATCAGATTCACATGATGGGATTTACGAAGAACTTATTGTAGGTTTTTGGAGCTTCTAATGAGGGAATTTATCTACTATTACCCCTTTTTTTAAATAATTTATTTATATAGTTTTGTTTCTCTTTTAAAAATAATTTTTGCATTATTTCCTAGAAATATTTTTTTTATTAAATTATTATAATTAAACAAGTTTTCACAATGATTATTTTCTAATCTTTTTTAAATAACACTTTATTAAATAACACTTTATAAAATAATATTTTGAAATATGTTTATGTAATATGAATTATGATGATATAAGTAAGAATAAATTGGGATATATAAATGTTTATTTCATGGACCTTTCAATTATCAAAGTAATATTTCATATTGAGTGTCATATTTTATTATCCGTTTGTTTCTTTTTACAACGTTTTATATGTGATATTTATTTAATATGTTAATATAAAATAATAAAAACAATCATATCAACGTTATTAATTTAAATTAATTTCTAAGTGTTAACAAAATAATAAAAGAAATAATATATAATATTATAATGTAAAATAAAAGAAATAATAAAAAATAATTGACAAAGTAAAAGGCTACTTTACGGTAATAATTAATTTAAAAATTTTGATACTTGGAATTTAAGCTTTGTAATTATATTATTAATTAATATTTATTTTAGTTATACGGGAATTTAGTTGATTCTCTACAAAAAATAGTGTTTACCGTTTGATACCAAATAATCAAATATATTTTTGAGTTTCTTCGTATTATCCAATAGAAATAGTGCATGACGAAATTTTAGATAAGCTGGCTCTGCACACTATTTACAAATTACAATAAAAACATATTTTCCCGCTCTTTTTGTAATTATTAAATAATAAATAAATAAATTTGTATATTTAAAAAACTTTATAGTACATGGAAACTAAAATAGTAAATGTAAATAATGATGATTTAATGATAAGACCCGATGAAGATTATTTAAAAATTCTGGAGGATATATGTCTTGATTTAAATCTGAATACCTTTATAAAGGATGATACTTGGAATATATTCTCTAAAATTGATATCAACTATATGCTCGAAGTAAGCTAAATATTAATTTGTTCTTAGTATTTTATATCAAAGTATAATTCTATTTTTCAGCTATGCAAAATTTACAATTTATAATATAGATTTATTTTTTTTAAAATAAAGTTAAATATAATATAACAATAGAATAATATGCATATGTTATTATATATAATTAAGCTGAAATATTTTAAAATTAAAGGTGAGTAATTAGATAGTATATATCTACCTAATGATATATTTACTAATTTTAATTGTTATTAAATTAAAGGGAAACAAAAAGGAATGGCTATTATGTGCCATATTTGGTGAATGTATGAATAAAAAATTGCCAACAATTGATTCTCCAACCTATATGACAAGTGAGGCTAATTGTATTTCCCTTATAAAACTCTTGAGATACATAAATATAAAGTAATTTATGCTGATATATAGAAATAATTCATAATTTATAGAATTCAATAACCTTTATCAAGAGCAAAATGTAGTTTGTAAAGTATAAGGCAATAAGACTATTTATTTAGGGTTTCAAGTGAGATATTTTTAACTATATTGGAAAATATTTAATATAATCAAATTCATTAAAATCATGTGGCAGAAAGGTTTGGACATCTTTGGCAATTGAGGATTACATAATATTATTTAGGCAAATATCTTTCTCATTAAAGTAAATGGATTTTGCCAAGATAATTTCATTTTCCTGATTTTTAAAAATCAACCCAATTTAAGCATTTTAATATAGATTATTGATATTTTTTTATCAATTCTCTAAATTATTTTTTAATTTTGCATTCAAAATCTCTTAAAAGATTTAAAAAGCTTTAAAAATTTAATGAAATTGTGATTAAATTTTTAAAAAATAAAGAAGCAAATTCTTCACCTATACAAAATGAAATATAATCTAAAAAAAACTTTGGTTGCATCCAAAACCTTTTTAAAAATTTTAAAACCAGTTTTCCAACTTTCAAAAGATTTTTAAAATTTCACAAATATATTTTGCCCATAGTAATATTTTTCTATTTGGAAAATGACTTATTTAATGTTTTCTTATAAAATTTTGAAGGTTTTTAAATAAATATTTTAAGGTTTTGGACACAGTCTAAAAAAATATTTTAAAATTTACTTTTTTTCTACTATACTTACAAAGATATTTTTTTAATCATAAATCATAATTTTTAATATCCAAACTGAATATGAATGAAACATCTGAACCTTTTGATACTTAAAATGCTTCAAAGATTATTATATTCAATTTTGATTGGCCAATATCTAGTCAGCATCTTTAAATTTCTTGATGTAATGTAGAGATCTTCATGGGCTGGGCTAACCCATGATGCATATTATATTTTGAGTTGCTAACCAAAATAAATTTCAATATTGCAACCAAAAATGATTGCCTAAATATACTGAAATATTGTTTATTTTTATTGAATATAAAAAATTAAATTTTTGGCTATAGTTTGGTCTTGGAGAAAATTTTATAAAGATTTTATGGGCTTGGAATTTTATTAATATTAAATATGGGCCATGCCTAGGCCTATAATTTTTTTTACTCAGATCTGGGCTTGACCTGATCAAAAATCCAGGCCCACAAATGGTCTCTGGTTTATTGATAGCTACCCAAATTAGTGTATAAACCATAAAAAATTCTATAGATATTAATTTAATAAAAGATAATCTTGAAAATACTTTAATTGTGCTATGTTAGATATATTTCCTTGTGCAGATAATTCTAAGAATTTATTTAAAGTTTCAAACTAAATTTTTATAATTTCGTACAAATCAAAACTGAATCTTAAAAGGTTTTTTTTATATTAATTGAACCAATATATGTTATGTTTCGGATCCTTGCTTTCTTTCTTATTTCTCAACCATTTAAATTTTTATAGATCAATTAATCCTTTTTTATAGTTAAATGTAGGCCATTTAAAAATAATTTTATGAGGGGTGATTATTATTTTGGGTACCAGCCAATGGTATTAGTTAAATTTGAAATGATCTGTTGATGCCAAGGTGAACACCTGATTTTAAACTAATCATATAGCATTGAAATTATTATAAAAAGGTAAATATTAAAATTTATATTAAGGGAATAGACTTCTTAATATGAGAGAAAGGCATAATTTTTTGTAAACGTAGTTTGTTAACGCTGCGTTATTTACAAAATCAAGCCAATAAATAGATATAATTTATAAATATGGAGCGAAACGATTAAAACGCTACTATAACATTTGAAAAATATAAATTGCGATGTAACAAAAATTTCGCTGTGAATCAGCTGTGATTTTGATAGCTTTAAATATCGCACAGATTAAACCAAACGCTTGTTACTATAAATGAGGCCTGTCATTTCCTTCAAGGCTTTCATCAATTTCCTTATAGGGTACACAACTTTTTCCTCTTTCTAAATTAACCAATTTTTTTAAAAAAATATTTTTATAACAACACTCATATTTAAGCATATTGACCTTCTTTGATAAGATGAAAAAATGGTGCAGCATGGCATCCAGTAATTATTCCGATTCAAATGTCTCTAACGATCTCAGATATCGAATCAATACTCTCGAAAGAAAATTTCACGTGACTAAATGTTTGTTTTATTCAAAATTTATCTCGCTTTTCAACCACACCTTCCACACAACCGATTTACTGACCAAAGCAGACGATAATAATTTTATGCTTCATTCAATTATCGATAAATTAATACCGGATTTGGGTGAAAAAAATTGCACGAATCAGGATTTGAACAAAGAGGACAAAGAAACTTCTATACGAAATAATAGGTAAGTTTAGATAATTTTTTAAAATATAATAAATTTTGACCTGTTTATTTTAGAAAATAAGGTCTATATAATACACAAGTAACAGTATTCATAAGCTTCTAATTAAGATTAATAATTATTTTTTTTAAAAATAAAAATTGGTAGGCTTTGCAATTCGCAATTTATTAAATATTTGGTTGCTTAGTTATTGATTAATTTTTTTTTCGAACCTATGGAGTCGGCATAATTTAAAATCAAATAAATCATTAATTAAATCGATGATTTTTTTTTCTTCAAACTCTGGAGAAAAAAAAACATAATTTTTTGACAAACCTACATTACGCCAGGTGGTAATAACTAGCTATAAATTTAATTCAAAAAAATGTAACATGAGTAAAATTTGAATTCTATCTCATTTTTTAGAATGAAAATTTGGAGAAGTTTATTAAGAATCAGGATTTGAAACTCGGACTGGAAAGGGATTGCGATTATGAATATTATTCAAAATTTAATCTGCCTTTTACCCGATTATCATCCTTAGTTTAAGCGATTTGCTGAGTGTTTCGTTTTGATGTTAATTTTTTTTATAAACATTGGACTACTCTACCTCGATTTAGGTAAGGGAAGTTAACTCCTTTCCCTCCTTAATTTATATCGGAGAGTTGCAGACCCGACATGGGTGTATTTAAAATTTTTTTTTAAAATATTACCCTGGGCTGGGTCGTACATTTTACAAGAAAATATTTGAAATCGCCATTTAGCTATAAAAATCAAAAATAAATTTAATTTAAAAAAAAATTCGGGCTGGGCCTTGCAAATGGTATCTCTGCTGTTTTCTCTGATTTATATATATATATATATTTTTTTTTTTAAAAAAAAACAATTTTAATAGGAAAAATCTTAGCAAGTCGGATATTTTCGAATTTTCATGGCTCTTTTTCGTATTCGTCAAAGGTTTAAAAAAAATGATAAATAAAATCATATAATTTATTAAATTAAAATTTTTATTTATTTTTTGGCAAATATACCTAACCGAGTCTGGGGTCAAATTGTATAATAGGAATTAGGATCCAGTGTTTGTCTAGAACCTTAGGCTGGGTAGGGGATGGCCTTTGAGATAGAATAAAATATGATTTGGAAAATTGTCGTTTTGACATACAAAGTTGGCCAAAAGGGACTCTGGAGGGAACTGAATCGATAAACAGAAACGATTCTTTTAATCTAATTTAAAAACCATCCTTCCTTGTGGAGTTATTTATTGCTATGGATTTATTATTCCCTTGAAACCCTTTCAAATCACGAATTCATTATAACTAAATACAGTGTTGTGATGATTTAATGAAACATATTGACGATTAAATTTAAACCCATTCATATAAAATGATAATATTTGCAAAAATAATTTAAATATAGACAAAGCATTATTGAAATTTCTTTTATTATTTCTTTTGTTGTACATTTGTAAAGATTATAATTATATATGCATGTGTTTATCAAATCTTCAATATTATAGAAGAATAAAGCTTAAAAAACTGGCCAAGATCCAAAAATAATAAAAAAAAACTTACAGAAAATCACTAAATAAAAAGAACCCGAAAATGAGGGAATTTGCAAAAAAAATCAAGAGCCTACGAACAATATAAGACTTACAATGATCAATATATAACTTTCTTAAACACAAAATTATCAGAACAGCAGTAATTGTAAAAATTTTATTTATTTTTCTTTAGCATAAAATTAATAAATTTTCAAAATTTAATAACAAAAAAATTAATCATGAAATATGGTTTTTTATAAATTTGCTCATAAAATTGATAATGATTAGACCTGTGCACCGCCGGTATTTTTATTCACGCCTTAAAAGTAGCCGATTGAGATCAGCAACTCGAGCAGGCTCGCCGCCAATTTTTATTATGGTGACGGTGCGGCGTGTGTAATTTTTAGAAAGCATATTTATATATTAAATTATTATTATTTTTAATTTGATTACTTACATTAATAAAATTAAAATATGAATTGTATTCTATTGCTATATATAATATTGTATATCATTTACATTCATTCATACATCATATTTTATTTCCACAAACAATTCATATTAATTATTTTTATGGATTTGCACGTTTTAAACCACCCTATATACAATTATGAAATAACTCTCTACTAATCATAATTCAAGTTATGTCTGGAGGTACTTTGGAAATCTTATTTTGAAGAATGAAAATAAGAAAAGCACAATAATGCCTGATTATATTTATTGTGAACCTTGTTTAAAATTGGCGAAAAAAGATGAGGAAGATTTGAATAAACATAATTCATTTTCACAGTAATTTATTTTTTTAGACTTATATTTATATATATTTTATATTTTAATTATGAAATAAAATGTTTTAGTAAAAATATAAGTACAAGTAATCTATCTAGGCACTTAATTAATTATCACAAACTATCAAAAAAAATTAATAATCAGAGTTGTTAACGCTCCTTTTTAAAAGTAGCGAGCTCCCGCTCCCGCTACTACATATTAAAAGGAGCGCTCCCACTCCAACTAATGGAGTGCCGCTTAATAATCGCTCCTTTGATTTTCATTTTTTTAGAAGGTACACGAAACAAAATCATATTTTTTTATCAAAACGTTTTATTTATATTATATGATATATCAAAATATTTATAATCTTTTATTAGCTTTTAAAAGTAATAAATTTTCTAAATTAGAATCTAACAAACACCCACGCCTCTCCCCTAAGACCTGTTGGGAAGCGGGGTATTGTATTTTATATAAATATTTTTTAATTTAGAGAATTGTTCAAAAATAGTAATTTTGCTATCATTATTTAAAAAATATCTATCCAATATATTATAAATCCATATTTCTAAAACTATTTTTTATTATATATCTATAAAATGAATATTAATATGACTTATAAGATTTTTCAAAAAATTTTCAATATAAAAAGGAAAAACTGATGTTTAATGTTTAAAATGATTAGATGAAAAATCAATATAAAACTCGGCATAACATTTAATAATGAATAAATTTATATAAAATAGAATTTTATTTTCATTAAATTTTAATTAACATATATTATTAATATTTAAAAAATAATATAATTTATATATTAAATTTAAAGGAGCGGTGGAGCGGCGCTCTTCCGCTCCAACCTTAAAAGGAGCTACTCCCGCTCCTCATTTTTAAAAAGGAGGGGCACTCCAGCTGTTTTTGAGAAAATGTAGCGGCACTCCAGGAGTGCTGCTCCTTAACAACTCTGATAATAATAAATCCATTCAAAGTTTAAAAATATTTTTAAAGCTAACAGCAAGATGCAGCAACAATATAAAAAATATAAAATGGTTCTTATGTTAGTATTATAGTTTATTATTATTCATTTGAAATTTTTAACTAGTTTGTTAAATTAATTTTATTAAGCTTTATTTTGAAAGTTCAAAACAACTAAATTTTTAGTTTATTTATTGCCAGCTCTATTTTGAGATCTTTTTAATATATAAACTTAATAAATAATTTATTAAATTAATTATGTAAAACTTTATTTTGAAAGTTACTACTAAATCAAATTCATAATCTATTTCATTCCAACTCTAATTATTATGTTTTTTAAATGTCTTTTTAATTTATAAACTTAATATATAATTTATTAAATTAATTATGTAAAACTTTATTTTGAAAGTTAAAACTAAATCTAATTTATAATTTGTTTCATTCCAGCTCTAATTATTTTGATGTTTTTTAAATATCTTTTAAATGTTTAAAATAAATATGAAATCTAATAGGGCAAAATTATGTTTTGACGTGCTGCTTAGATTTAATGCCATTTGATTCTATAAAAATAAAGGTATGACAGATTTTCTAAAGGTTTAAAATTTATATAAAATGATTATTAAAAAATAAAATTGCCTAAAGAATAGAAATATAAAATAATTGATTCCTCGTCAGAATTGCCAAATAGGACAACCATTAGTCGGGGTGCGCTAGACGATGTTTATTTGTCTACAAAGGCCCATGTTTTAAATCTAATTTATTCTGGACCAAAATTTTGTTCTATCACTTGATTTATGGACCGATTATTTCAAGCGTCGAAATTATATCACATTTAGTCTTCATCATTTAGATGAAAATTTTGATTTAAAATATTTTACCCTAGCAATTAGAAAGTGACTCAAAAGCATACTGGGGAAACGATATTATCTGAGAGATAGTATTGAAGAGGAGTTCCATTTAAAAGCCAAAATAATACAAATTGTAACTGATGCTGGGGCCAATGTCAAAAGAAGCGTCAGATTAGGGAATTATGAGCATCATTTATGCTTAGGGCATTGACTTCATAATTTGGTTACAGTTGATGGCATAAAGTTACCCAAATTGATATTCTCATTAAAAAAATTAGAGAAATTATTTCAGCCCTCAGATATCGAGTATATTTGGAATGTGAAATTGAGGCTGAACATCGTAAATGTCTGCAGTCAATTTATGAGACAGGTAATATCTTGGATATTAATGATTCTGATCCATACCTTGATGAACATTTTGATATGTCTGATGAATCGGAAATAGAAATGGCATTGCACCAACCAATCTAATTAATGCAAAAACTTTAATATTAAATTGCCCTACCTGCTGGCATAGCATATATGCTAGAAAGTGTTCGCAGTGGAAACAAAATTCTATAAATAATGTTCTAAATAAAATAGGAAAATAATCTTTAAAACTCTTTAATAATGAATGGGATATGATTGATGAGCTTTACACAATATTAAATCCATTCCGAGAGGCGGTGCAATTTCTTTCCTCCCAAAAAGGATCGACAATAAACTTAGGGTTATTATTTCACAGTGAAATAGAAGCTCATATACAAATCAATAGATCTGGTTGCTCAGATATTATATGCTTAAAAGAAAATATGAAAAAAAGCTTGACCATAAGTTTCTCATTACTGAATTTCAAGTTATTAGTAAAATTATATTTTAAATATTAGATATTAGCAACTCTACTTGATCCTAGATTTCAAAATCTCAAAGTTGTTTCAGAATAATTAAATTCCAATTCTACGACATCATTGCAATTTTTTAATTTGACATTTAAAACTTTTAGAGCAGGATAGAAATGCACAGAGTGAAATACAAGTTGAGGATAATGGTCAAACATCAAGCTCTTATTTAGCTAAATTAGCTCGTAAACATTCCCTTCCAAGTAAAGATTATAAAAATAAAAGTAATCTAGAACAAGAATGTCATATTATGCTCAGCCAAAATAATATCCCAGAAGAGGACACATTAATCTTTTGAAAGAAAAAGCGATTGGAACTTCCTATGCTTTTCATTGTATACCTGCACAGCGAAAGATCGATTGCTGGATTAATACTCAATGCTAAAAGGACTTCTTTATGTCCCACAAATCTTGATAAAATACTGTTTACTCATGACAATTATAATTTTGCTAAATCTGAATTCTGACTTATTATATTTCATACTTACATTTTGCTTGCATTCCAAATTTATTTTAATTATAATAAAAATCAATAGAATATTTCTTATATGTGTTGGATGTGACTCTGATCTGAGTAAAAATGCAATCCCTTAATCTATTTCTGAGAATGATAAAATACATAAATTTAAATTGGAGTGAGACAGGAAATAATTTAAGATCAATTAAACTATGTTAACAATTTATTAGATCGCCCAAATAAATTATAAAAAATGTAATACATTCATTAAAAAATAAATTGATATATAAATTAAATTCATTTTAAAAAAATTTAAAATAAATATTGCGCCGCAGCCGCCGACAATTTAGTAGACGGAAACCGCCGCCGTTTATCGGCACACAGGTCTAATAATGATCGTTAAAAATGGTTTAAATTTTTGCATAAAAAATTAATAATCATTAAAACATTTTTCAAAAAACGATAAAAAAAATGATAATCAATGGTTAATATGTTGTGTCAAAGAAAAAATTATTCATAAAGTTTTGAACCAATGCCTTTTTTTAAGATGAACTTGAAACGTGAACGCCCTCAATTTTGGCCAATGAACCTTGAACCCGTACGCGTTCGATTTTTTTTAGAAATGTTTACACAGCACTACTCCTAACTAATGGGAAAAGGAAAAGAAATATTTGAGTTTGAAAAATATAAATACATTATTGTAGGTAAAGTTGAAGGAATGAGTGAAGACCTGGTGAACAGTTTTAACTTACTTTTGTGCTGCTTGGATCTCATATTTAGCGATTACATTAACAATTGCCACAAAATGTCGTTGACTTGTTTAATCGATAAAGAAATTACAGGTTTTTTTTAGTTCTTTTAAAATCAATAAATTCTTATTATCATTTTTTTTTAATTGTAACTATCTTTTTTTTAAATAATATTTTATTTAAGTCAACATCGTTTCTCAACCTTTGAAAAAATATTCTTTAAACTTACTTTACCCCGATTTATTTATCACATACTTCCTATTCCCTGGTTAATGTTTCCCTTTTACAGGATTAATCCCAGGCTGGCCAGTTTACCCACTAAACATTTTTCTCTCACCTTTCCTTCTCTACCACCTTCATCTAACTTGTCTTCTTTGATCTCCTTCGAGGGGTGGGGGGAGGCAGTGGTATTTCCGTCATTTCCACCCCAACACTGCATCATAACTATCTTAATCTATCTCTACTCTTCTAGACCATTCAGTGCTTGAGAGAACAAATAAATCCAAACCTTTTACTAATTGAATCCCCTTTTCATTTTATCCTTCTATTAGTATTGTTAAACGGCTAAATCAATATTTTAGTCAAAAAATGTTATGCAAGTCTCGAGATTTCGTTAATATATGTCCAAACCTTTCTACCATCTATGAGCAAAATCTCCAGGCTTGTGTAATATTTTTGGCTACAATAGTGGGTTACCCGTTAATTAAAAATCGAGCCGTTTAACAACACTACCTTATATATATATATATTTAAAAATTATTTTAATGGACAAGATGCGCTAAATGAAAAAGATTTAATAACCCTCTTTTGTGAATCAACTCATAGCACGTCCCTCCTATTGGATGTCAAAACTTACAAAGTTTATGAATTCGAAAATCACCTGAAATCGTTGCAAATTACCCTCAATGTAAATATTATTTTTTTTATAACTTGATTAATTGATAATAATTTAATGGTTTGCATTTTTGATAAAAATACCCAGCTTATATATTTGGTGCGGTCTTAGTATATAACTTTTATGAAACCAAACGTTCTACTGGTACATTATATATTTGTTGTCCTAAATAATAGTTAAGTTTTTACAAATCTTGATTCGAAAAATATTCTCTTCTCATTTAACATATCGTCGGTAACCTTCTAAATGTTCTCTTTGTCCCCAAACCTTAATATAACATTTTTGACATATCGTCCAGTCATAATTTTAAGACCTCTTCTAATATGACATCTTTAATTTAACATATAACATATATCATCGGTAAATAGTTATTATGTATAGTTGACACTAATCGATATATAGTTAACTTAAATTCTATACGGTTGTCTATTTTTTTTACACATTATTTAATTTATAATCATTCAAACTTTAGGACCTTACTTATACATTTTAAACGTAATATTTATTTTTTTGCAATCACACAAGCCTGCTCTGAAAACGGATTCTAACGATACCTTGAAAGGAATGATAAAACCTGCTAATTACGAATATAACTGGTAAAAAAATTTTTATCATAATTACTCTTTATTTTACCTTAGATTTTTCACGTTATAGAAAAAGCACAATAATCCCTATTTTTTCGTGTCCTAAATCTAAAAAAAAATAAATTTATAAATTATGAAGAAAAGAAAAGAAAATAACAAGCTATTTTTAATTGTCATTTACAAAAATTTATTTATTTGGGTAATTTTTATGAAAAAACTAGTAATATTAAAGTATGTTATTTTTCATATTTTATTCTCGTTTTTTTGGTTATATTTTTTTTGTAAAGATTTTGGGCATGTTTCATAATTTTATTAATTTGCTAAAATTTATAAATTTTGAGGTTTTTCAAAACATTTAGGACACGGCCTAATATAATTTATAAAAAATGCTGTAGGCAAAAATTGAACAAGTTATACGAGGAGATCTTCATTTCAACACAAGATGGTTTCATAGATGAAAGAATATTTTTAGGTGAGTCATTCATATCGGCCAAGATAAACACTCCTACGAAGCTTCTCAAGAATTACAATACATCTTCGACCCTGGATGATATTGCCAACCAATTTGAAAATCCTGATCTCGATCAAGATAATTCGAACAAGAATAATGGGGACGCGTCTATCAAGAAACACGTTAATAGCGCCAAGAAGAAATTGTCGGATTATTTTGATAAGGTAATATTTACTAGTGTTGTTAAAATGCCCGATTTGGGGTCGATTTTTCAAAACGGTCCTATTAAGATATTAGCTAAAATAATATTATGTAAGTATTGAGATCTGGCAAATAGATGCCCAAGGATTTCTGCCAGCTATGAGCAAAATCTTTAGGCTTACATCATGTTATTTTGGTTTTAATTTTAATCGGGTGTTTTTAACAACACTAATATTTACTCTACTTTTGCAAAAAAAATCTTTAAATTCTTTAAAGAAAAAGTTACAATATTGTTTTTGAATATTCAAAAACAAAAAATTTTTGTTTTATTCCAAGGGATAGATGCTAGTATCTGAAACCCTCGGAACCGCGCCAAATTTAAAGCCCGAAACTTGATTTTTTTAATGAAACATGGCCACTTTTCAGTCCGAGTTTCCAAATTTTGAATGTTATTATATTAATTTTAAAAATGTTGTATAATATAGACCACCGATTCGCATGTCACTTTGACCCCTCTACTGGGCAGAAAGTTCTTGGTTCACAAATGTCGATCAGCAGATGATCCTTCACTCATGACGACCTCCGCTAACCTCAACGAAGAAGAACTACAACGAAGTATCTCTGGCGGCAGCTTTACTCGAAGCGATAATAAGCAGATGGTCAAATTGAAGGGAATCATGCATTCCTACATGGATCATAGAAGCGTATTGACCAGTTTAGATGAGCCAGGTGCGATAAAAGAAGTTGAAGGTATTGTTTTATTTGTTGTTTCTTAGATAATTTTTTTTTGGATGATTGAATATATTTTGTATTTTTATTCTAGTTTAAAAAATATTTTATATCAATATCATATTGTTCAATATTTCCAATATAAAATTTAATATTTTTTATACAATTATTTGAAAAATTGATTTGTTGGATTTGGATGTGTATGACATTAATATTATTAATCAATAATCATTTAACATATTAAATTTATATACGCGGTAGGCGCAAGCGATTTATTAACCATTCAAGCACCAATAATTCTTTGATTTATTAAACTTAGTTTAAAAAAAAATATATATTGAATTTAAGAAGATTCTAAAGTTATTGAAACGAATTCCGATGTGGTCAGCGAAGTGGATGACAATGATTTGCTGGTTATATTGAGGTTCATTTTTTTTGTAATTAAAAAAAAATTGAATCACCTTGTATCTTGGAATGGGTTTTTTATATACCTAAATAATCGAATAATGGGCATTATTCATATTCGAATCGTTTAAACATATGAAAGAGTTTATACATATAAAATTCGTTTTTTTTTTAAAAAATAAATCTTTAAAATATAAATTTAATATTCATGGCACATATATTATATCGATATTTAAATTAATTGGAACAGATTTTTACTTTCTTAACTTACATTAATTGAGTAATAATTTATTGATTGATTCATATTTTAGGGGGTTTGTGAAATATCGGTTTACACAAATCTAAAATTAGTATAAACTTGTAAACTTGCGACAAGGTGTAATGAATAATTTTTTATTTCGTAAATAATTCAAAAAAATATATATATTATTTGAAATTATTCATAAGTTTATTCAACATTCCTTGTGGAATTCTATTTCTTATTTTCTTTTTATAAAAACTTTAATTATTCATCAATTAATGATTTTTTTTTAAGAAATCAATACCATCCACTTTAAAAAAAAAAATTTAATATTCGACAGTCGTCTCAATCAGTTTTATCAAGCATCTTACATTTTTTTGAAATAAATAATTATTAAAACAACAGGAAGTGTAAACAGTCGACTATAGCTAAAATGGTGGATAGATTGAATGCGTGCGAAGAAAAGTTTGTCAAGAATTACAATTATCCTGCTGCCAGCAAAACGGTAAAATGTTGTAAAATTACTTATTCTCTTATTTTTTTCTTCTGAATTTTGGGGACGGACTTAACTATTAAACCGAATTTCTTTAAAAGGGGGAATAAATCGAATCCTTATATTAATTGTAAAATCATGACATTCTTTTGAGATCTAAGAGAATGATCGAGTAACTACCTTTCTCTGTGGAGTTCATTTTATCTGAGAAGAATTTATTGAGCATCACCTAAAAGTTGGGAACAACATGATAAACTGCTCGATTTAGCCAAAAAAAGTAATGGCGAACTCAAGACTTTCTCAAAAAATAAATTACCCAAGCATGGACATTTTGCTCCCATATGTCCCACAGGATTGGACATGTATTCACAAATGTTTGGTTAAAATCTTAATTTAGCCTTTTTCAAAAAAAAACTGGCTCTATCGGGTCGTTTAAAAATACTAGTTGGGTAATAGATTTATTTTTAGCCGCCTCTAAAAACGGTCTTTTCAGAAAAATAATGTAACTTATAATGGATGCCTACATTCTACATCAAACTTTTTTTTGATAGCCTTATATTCAAAAAAAATTATTTAATGTTCTGTTTTGAGGAAAAAAAGTCTATAAGCGTCCTTGGGGTTTTATATTAGAAAGATTTGATCAATACTTAGATAACCTTTTCTTTTATGTTACGTTTTGCCATAATAATAGAAATAATCTTTTTATATCGATAGCCAACTAAAGAAGATTATATAAGGGAGATATTCGATACTGGTTGTAGCCTATACTTTTGTTTGTTGGAAAAAATATTGGCCATGGAGAAGAACACGAAATTCACTAGCACCAAGCAAAATGCGTCTTTCGATTACACGGTTTATATATTCATTTTTTAAAAAAAAAATACTTAAAAACTTAACGAAGAAAATAATTTAAAACAAAAAAAAAGTCACTTTTCACTTTTAAAAATAACTAACAAAACTAGATTCTGGGTTTTCCCAATTTCATTATACCTTCTTTCATATTGCTCAAATCACATTCCCTCCCCACCACCAACCATATTAATGTTGTTAAAAAGCTCGATTTGGGACAATTTTTATTATATAATCTTGAAGATTTTGCTCATACATTGCAGAAAGGTTTGAACCTCTATTTGTTAAATCTTGAGGATTACATAATATTAGTTTGGCTAAGGTTATAATCGGACCGTTTTTTAAAAACGACACAAATCAGGCTTTATAACAATACTACACCATATACTATTCATACATAATTGTCACATAAAAATTAGGTTGCTTATTTAATTGTTTTTTTTTAAATGATAAAAATCGACTTCTTAAGTTTCAAAAATGATACGAATTTATGGTTGTTGATAAAAAGAAATGTCAATAATGAAATAAATATATGTATATATATTAGAGCATTTTTAATAATTGATGAAATTAAAAGTGATAACTTTATGTGCGAGGGTTGATATTTAAAGTAAAAGTAATAATAAGTTTTTGGATCACTAATAATTACTATGTAATTTATACTCAAAAGTAAGTATATATTATATGAAACTAATCGAAAAGTTAAAAATAGAAACAAACTTTAAAAGTTATAATCGAATACATTGAAAAAAATAAATAAAATTAATGTAATGTAAAAATATTTTATTACCATTTATCAAGTATGTATTATTTATTTTTCATTTAGACTCTCTTGGAGCATTCCGACTTCAACACATCCGTCTTAGCGCTAGCCTTAGAAATCACTATTTTCTCCTCGTCCTCTTCTCACGACGTGGCTCTCAGTCATTCGTTGCCTCATAGTGTCAATCAACAGCAACCTTATGCCGTATTGGGCCTTTCGGCTTACGCCTTTTACAGAGTCATAGAGCTTTGCATAAGAGCCCAAGATAAGTTGAGTAGGGAGATGGTCAAACACCTCAACAAGGTTTGATGCAAAAAACATATTACATAGTAAAACCAAGCTCTGTTGGTCCGTATTTACTGGCCCGATAGGCTGGGCCTAAAATTTAAAAAATAATTGGAAATCTGAACCAGGTCAATTTAAAACGAAATTGTAAACTTTGACGATTACAATGTAGCGCTTATTATTCAAATATCCTTTTGAAATTAGTTGCTAAATACAGCCCAAAAAATATTTAAAAATAACGACTTTTTAAAAATACTTAGCAGGGTGATAAAATAATCAAAAATAAAATCTAGGTATGGGCTCAAAATTTTTTTTCATCTATTTGAAGCAAATTTATATGAGTTATTATAATATTTTTTTTAAAAAAAAAAAATTATAACTATTTTTATAAGATTTTTTCGTTTACTTACTATCGGTTAAAATAAAAAGATATTATAAATTAAATAATAATGAATTATAAATCTGCATTTTTGTTTATATATATATATTATTACTTAAATATTAAAATAAGATTGAAGAGGGTATACTGGAAAGCGTCGTATGGCATAATGATTCTCTCTTGTGGGGTATTCTTAAAAACAATCCAGTGCCTTGGTGCAAAGAAGTATTATTTAAAAAATTAAAAATTATTATAAACAATTTTCTTCGTTCTTAATATCTTTTTATACTATTTTATTTTTTTTCTTCCTACGAATTATACAAATTTTCTTTGTAATGCATCTTAGAAAATTGTTTCGTCTTATCAACCACACGAATATGCTCTATAAATATTATATTTATAATTCTTTCTACTGTTTTTTTAATTTAATGCATATAATAACAAATGCACTTATTTTTATGTAATTTCTTATCATTTAAATGATCTTCTGGCTAACAATAGGCAAACTATTTATAGGAGCCCTATAACACATAGACAGGCCATTCCATGTCAAGTCACACACTTTGCGAACCACCCCTTTCAATTTAATAAAATTACATGACGGGTTACAAATTTTTTTTTTTAAATTAAGGTTAAAAAAACAAAATTATATCTATAGCTTTTATATTTCTTATATTTAATCTTCATTCAGAGGTCTAACACTCCCTCTATAGTGACGTTAAAAGGCTAACCCAATATTTTGGCCAAAAATAATGATATAAAATCCTGAGGATTTTGTTAATAGATGGCAGAAAGGTTTGATATTAACGAAATCTTGAAGCTTGAACAATATTATTTTGGTTGAAATCTTGATTAATATTGGGAATCAGAGCAGTTTAACAGTGCTAACCCCCCCCACCGCTAAAAAATACGGATAAGATTTTACCCCTTCTGTTCATTATCAATTTAAAATTAGCTTAAAATATGAGAGCGTCCTCATAACTACCATTGAAATTATGATATTACTTTTTTTTTATGGTATTTCCGAAAAATTAGTTATTATTCCAAAAAGTAATTCCACCATTTTCACTTTATTACATAAAAATTTATAATATATCTATATTTATTTTTTCAAATTTAATCACATAAAAAAACTATTCACATTATTCGATTTTTAAAATATAATCATAATAATATCAATAATAAAACAAAACATATACCTAGAAAACTTCTTACCTCCTCTCGGGACAAAAGTTCTTAATTTCATCAGCCTCCATTTTTCCTTAAAATTTATTTCCCAATCTTTCATACTATATATATATAGCATTAAAAAATCAAAATGTTTTAAATTATTATGAAACAGCGCTGCTATTTACGTATAGTTCTTATTGAAATATAATAAAAATTTTCTATTTATATGGGTTATTTTCGGTTTCCGTTTTTTGATTAATTTTAACTATACGTGAATATAGTTTCGTATAATGTATAAGATACGTCCTAGGTTGGGATTGGAATCCCATTGAAATAGAGAGTCGCTTTGAAGACCTTAAATTGGACATCTGAAAACCCTGGGTCAGGATATAATAATTATTTATACTGGATGGGATTCAGGGAAAAATATTTTTTCGGGTATATCAGAGTAATCAAAACATTTATTCGATCAAAATTCGAAAAGTTTGCCTAAATCAAAAAAAATGGTAAATAACTATAATTAAGTAATTGGCAACAAAAAACGAGAATCTAAAAACATTCATCCTTATTGCAGAATCAATTTTTAAGACTCCCTCACTTTTTTGCATCACTTGACCATGATTAAAATGTGTGTTTTTTTTTAAATTTTCCCCTCCAGTTTCATCATTTACTTAATTATGATTATATTTATATTAGTTCATGTGTTTTATTAAGTTGGTAAAAAAAATGGTGATTTATTTCACTTTTGAATAAGCCTTTTATTATTTCAGGAAATTTTAAATGGTTAAAAAGAGTCGAAAACTTAGAAAACTAGTATATAACGTCAAAGACGTACAATTTTATAAAATGAAAGTAGTGGGTCCTTCGAAAATCATCTTTTTTCTTCATTTGTATGGAATTGTCTGTCTCCCTTCTTCAGTTCTAGAGACTCCTAATCAGGTCCCTAGGATTAAAATCCATTTTTTTAATTATTATTATCAAGATAGAAATTTTTGTCTTTTTTTTAAAAAAAGGTCTTTAATTCACGGAACATCGAATATGTTTCATCTTCTTTCGCTACCTTTACGCCCCCTTCCGTTCTAAAAACTATTCACCGACACATACCGCCATCTACTACGAGCCTCGGCAGCCTGCTGCTAACCCCCGTAAATGAACCAGAAAATCACGAAAATAACAGACCCAACAAAGATGTAAAACCTGTGAAGAATGGATCCTTGGCCCTTTTTTTCAGAAAAGTTTTTTTTATTTTATATAATATAAATCTCATTTCTTTGGCCCTGTTATAACGGGTGGTGTTATTATATTTAAAAACAGGAGAGAAAGATCCGATATATCGAAATATTTATAGTAAGGATTTGGGTTGAGAAAAGGATAAATAATACATGACAAAAAGTTAATTAACATAATTATTGTAAAAAAATTTATTTTTAAAATTTGTAGCTAAAAATAAATAAATTTATAAGATGTAAAATAACCCCCTCCCCCCTGAAATAATTAATAATTATAAAATGCGATCTTTTAATCTTAATTAAGCCTAAAATGCAAGGCTGTACTAGTGTTCATGGTGGTTTAAAAGTATGAAATTATCTTCTTGCAAAGATTCCCTGTTCTCTAAATACCCCGTGTTTAAGTGGTTGTCAAAAAAAATTGATCCATGTTTGCAAAATGTTCAACAAAACGGTTTCAATCTTTGAACCCCTGAATCAGGTCCAGAACGAACCCCACCTAAAAGTGCATGATATCAAACTTGGCAGAATATGACTTACACATTCATTTTAACAAAATAAGGTTTACCACCTAACGAGCATTCGTTTGAGGGACTTGTGCAAGAAACTGGACATCGCCTCATCATCGTCGTCATACTCGACTCCCAATATATTGGCGTTATCCGATCCCGACCTTTCTTCTAAAATGGAGACCCTGTTGTTGCACGCCGTGTGGACCTGCTTCGAGCAGTGTTTGGTCCAATCAACGGCCGTTCTTTTCAAGGGCAGGCACGTGGATCAAATCATAATGTGCTGCGTTTACGTTATGTCTAAAGTAAGCATCTGTTTTTTTAAATAAAAAATATACAATCAAAATTTTTGAATCTTTTATTAAAGATCCCCTTTCCCTCCTTATCCCGAATCTAAATATTCTTTTTTATATCTTTGTTTCCACTAGCATTCCGTTTTAAATTTTTTCTTCTTCGATTGTAAACTTGCATTAATATTTTTTTTTAGTAAAGTGATGCAAACACATTTACTTTATTTAACTAAGAAGTTTTTTATAATCTTATTTAGCGGAAATTTTGATAATAGTAATTTAATCGGATCATATTTTACTAAGAGAGGTCGGAACCCGCCCCGGGTCCAAATTACTCTTAGATGAATTGTTTAAATTGTTCTCAAAATGTCCAAACAAACTATTTTAAATTTCTGAGCCCGAATTCAGGTTACCCTGCTTAAAATCACATAATAACTAAAAATGAGTTATAAAAATTGGAATCAAGGCTATGACCAAAACATCAAAAAAATTTGATCCATAAACTTGTAAAAACAGGGTTGTATATTTTACTGGTCAAATACGATTCGGTCTATTCATAGATATTTGACCAGTCAAATATGGTCAAATTCAAATGAATGTTTTATGACAATATATAATAGTAAAATGAATTTTATATTAATTTTGTTATAATTTTTAAATTCATTGACATTCAAATAACTAATGTTTCACTCTCCGTGGCAGAGTCTTGTTTTGTTTCATATTCAATATTATCATTTTCTTTAATATTTTTTAGTCAATTTTTCTGTTGTCGAGATCTTCGATCGATTTTTGTTTTAGTAAGAATATAACCTAAATCAAACATTTTCTTTCTGAAGAAAGAGTAGAGAATTGTTAATAAAATGCCACTTCTAAATAGACTTGGTGATGATTGTTTCTTATAGAAATTACTGCTATATTAAACGTGCCGCTTTTATTTCTGAAATCACTTGAAATATTTTGATCATCACTACCTTAAAAAAATGTCTAATTCTTTTATTATATTCACTACTAGTGAGATGCTTCCCTTGATATTGATAACTCAATATTTAAGCAGCATTGTGATCACATTTTTTGAAACATATTTTTAATTTTTTTCTTATTCCAATTTTTTAGAGTATACTCCTCCTGTCAATTGATTGAATTTGATCGGTTAATATGCAGACTTGCTAACCCTGTTTAAATCTTTATCGAAAAAAAGGAGATAAGCTTGTTTTTTTTATTATTAGAAAATTAAAGATAGCCAAATTTTTTTTTTAGATTTTATAACATTAACGTTAGTCCTTCTTAATAAAAATTTGATACAAGTTTTGGAGTATCCTTACCTTATTTTCACTATTCTAATTACATCGTAATAATTAATATTTCCTAATTGTTCTCTTCACTTAAAGAGAAGAAAGAACAGTAATTTAAGAGATAAATTATATAGAGTATATCTTTTTTATTTTAAAAACCAATAAAGTCGTGAACGAACCTAAAATACGAATACGTTCGTCAAAAAAAAATTAAATTCATTCACGAACGCGATTTTGAACGCGTTCGTTTGCAACATTAGAAAATTTATCTGTATTATAAGAACAAGGTGATATTGGCTGTCGACCAGCTTGCTTTTGATATCATGCACCATATACATGATCAGTGGTTGAACTTCTCAATACATCAATAGCTTGTTTGTACATCATAGTCAACGTTATTACTAAAAAAAGGTGGCTTGATTGAACACCATCATCCAAATACTTGATCTATTGCTGTATAGATACTTATTGAGTACTTTTCCGCTATAATAATTTGGGTATTATATTTTTTTATATTCCCTTACCCATTAAGACTGACTTACCATCAATCATCACACACAAAAAAAATTTTACACCTTTAATGAAATAACAAACAGATATATCAGTCAATCAATCTTTACATTGCATTCAACTCCTTCAATTATCTGATAGACTTGGTGGTCATGAATGGTTAGAATCACTCTTTAGTCGTAACCTTGATAATCTCTTATAATATGAACAATTGAGAGTAACCATTGGTTTACTCTAGGTTATGACATCGTACAGCCTCATGCTTGCATCAAATGCAAATCACCCATCATTCAAAGGGTGGGCATGGCCTTAATTGTATATTTAGTCAAAGGCGACACCAACGCCACACAGCAGTAATCCACGTAATAAATAGAAGCCTAACAGCTGCCCACATTCCGAACTTGAACCAACAAACTTATCTCAAGTAGATGGCTTAAGACCTGAAGGTATGACAACCATACCTTGGGCCCTCGGTAAATCACTTATATGGGATTGTGCCTCGTCATTCCCCTCAAACATAAATATCAATCTAATAATAGGCAGAAATTAAAAAGACCAACAAATATAAAAATTTTAAAAACTTCATATTCATACCTCTACGAACGGGCATTTTTCGCCATCAACATTTAAGTTTTTAAAAAATCTGGGAAATAAAATACGGCTTTTTCACAAATGAACCCTGAGAATTTCTTTATATTCACCAAAAAATTTAATAACATGGGCAAGATGGTGGTAAATAGTTCTACTGAGAAATAAGTCTGTTTAGACACAATTATGGCTCCTTTTTGGGGACTCAGTTATAGAATTTTATTTTAGAAATTATAATTTTTAACTTATGCACTAATATGATACATGATTTTACTCGCATCTTTGTTTGATCATAGTGGCGAATAACCACCCGCCCCGTTCTTAAACTGGATGCAATCTAGTTATACCTTTTCCCCATATTTTGTATTTATTATGGTATAGACTCACTTCCTTTGGTTTATAATGTTATTTAAACTCTAGTTTTTTTAAAAAAAGTGCTTTAGAGTGGGGTATAACTGAGGATAGATTAATTAAATCCACATTACATCTTAGTTAGTTAAATAATAAACCCTAAATCATACTTTTTTTATAGGTGACTGGTCATGACAAATCATTTGCCGATATCATGAAGCAATACAGGACTCAACCTCAAGCTAGGAATAATGTAAACTGCTTATTTATTTATTTTTTAGATCTTTTATAAATAAGTAATTTGGGGTTTTATAAATTTAAAGCGGGAATTTTAATCCGACAAAAATTTCGGTATAGTTTTTTTTAAAAAAATATTGACCCCTGTCCTATATTTAGTATTGGCGCAGCCCTGTAAATTACAGATGAATTGATTTTGCAAAAAAAAATGAGAGTTTAAAAATCAGCTTAATTACTGGAATCAAGTTTGGATGGAATCTAAATTATATTTTACCATTTTGGTTCGAGGTAATCAATGAACCAAAATTTCAGATAATAAAGTGTGTTCGGTCCAGTTCGGTTTTTTTTAAAAAAAAAATCTCATCCTACATGCCAAAATCATTTTTTATTATATTACAATCTCCCACCCAGGTCTACAGATCGGTTTTGATACAGGATTCTAACGAACACATTTCGCCCCCCACTTTACATCCCGATCAATCAGATTTTAATCAAAACGATGTTTCCAGGATTCGCAGCTCATCCACCTTGCCCCATCACATTAATAATAAAGGACCTGACCCGAGTCGGGGCGATATAATCACTTTTTATAATTCGGTTAGTTTACATAAAAAAAATTTTTTACGTCTTTTCTCTATCAGCTTTCTTTCTTTAATTCATTCATTTATATTATTAGCTTTCTATTGATTTAAATGTTTATTCTTTTTTTCCCCCTAGCTGAATATTTCATCATTTTTATCTTAATGTATAAACATTTTAAATTTGTTTTTATGAAGGTATTTGTCGAAGAAATCAAAAATTTTGCTACCAAATTCGCTTCTTTCTGTGATATAATAGTACAATTAATTTAATTTAATAAATGCGATGCAAAAATTTTTTAAAATTATTTTTAAGCAAACAAACTATAATTATATATATATGTATATAATTTAAATCAAGAATTACTCCACTCAAAAAAATATGCTTTTCTTGTTGCATTAAGTGATAAATTTTTTTCGTTTTAAACGTAACTTAAAAATCTAATTAACACTAATGAGATATTTTATTATTAACTTCTTTATTTCATGTCAAAAGGCCTGAGAGAGAAAAATTAATCAGTAACACTTAAAGAGTTTAATTACAAAATGTTTACATTCCTAACAATATATTTTTTTCCATAAGAAAAATCCAACAACCCCCATCTGTCATTCACAATTGACACCCGTCAATCTACTATCCCCCTTACCACTCCTCACACCTTTAAGTGGCTCACCGGCTTTTGGTCGCAAAAAGAAAGTTTCTGTCGGACATTTTGTATACGTTTCACCACTTAAACCTTCTCCGTCCTTATCCAAGATGACGGCGCCTCTGGGGGGAGTCGATGATTTACTATCAAACCGATCCACTAGTTTTGTCTTTACTTTTGACCAAAGTCCCAGCAAGGTTATAATAATTCGAATTTATATACTATATTATTTCTAATTTATTACAAAATCTATCTTTACTTACTATTATTTAAATATGACGGATTTTAAATTGATTTTTTTGGGTAATTTCAAATTATTACAATTCATCAATTTGAAATCTATAATATTCAAAATTTCCATAATAAATTTACCATAACAGTTTTCCATTAATCTCAATCATTATTATACTGATATGAACATTTCCAAAATTAATACATTTCAATATTTAATTTATTAAAAATTGTTAATCAAATTTTCATTCCAAATTATTAGAATTCATAAATATTAATCTATAATATTGAAAATTTCCATGCGATCCAATTATTTTTCTAAAATATAATAATTACTTATCAATCATCATTATATTCTATAATTTAATATTTCTTTGATCCAAATATTTCCATTTAATACCAATCATTACTATAATACAAATAATTTAACAATTTATTCATATTCTTTATTAATTCAACATAATATTTATAAAGGCAAATATTCATTATTAATTCAACATAACATTTATAATATTATTATTAATGCATAACAAACTGCATCACAAAAATGCAAATGTTCTCGAATCTTCTACACTGATTGATAATGTAGCTCAATGAAATGTTCGGTACCTATTGTACACTATTAAAATTAAAATTATGGAATTATAAACATAATTCCCAAATTACTACAGGGGGTAATAGGAAATTTGCCACAAAAAATTGGACCTTAGAAGATCCCACCCCCAACAGAAAACTAATTTTTTTTAAAAAGGTATTAATACTATAAGGTGTGGATACTCAAAATAAATGCGTCAAATCCCGTCAATATTTTCGCTTAAGTTTTCTAATTATCCATCTTTATTTTATTTTACCACCACATTAATTTATCAGTTTCGCGGTATTTTAATTAGAATCCTTCGTGGAATTTTTTTTGGCACCAATCCCGGTAAAATGAAAAGGCGATTTTTATTACAAATTTATTTTATATTTATCAGAGACTAACCACCCTTCTCGTTAGGTAGAATTACAGTGTCAATTTGTAATTTTTATAGCTAGTAATGACGATTTAAAATAATTGGTTTTAAAATATACGACCCAACTCGGGTATTTAAAAAAAAATTTTTAGGCTCCTCCCGAGTATATTTTAAAAAAAATTAAAATACGGTCCTGCCCGTTTACTCGCGCATAGGGCCGAGCATGCAGGTCTCTTGTGTTTATATATTGATTAAGGGGCTGAGCCGTTTCTGAGAATCATTTGCTTCTATATTTTACCAAGATTTGTACCAAAAAATTTCCCCAAGGGACTTTAATTATTAAATGGTGGTTAAAATAAAGATAATGCTAACAGGATTTCAAACCCAAAAATATTTTAACTTTTTTAAAAAAAAAAATCACATGGCCCTTTGGCTTCGCATAGAAATCAAAAATGCGCATGGTATTTTCGCAAATTTCTGTAAACAATATAAACAGGCGTAGGTGTCATAACTAACATTATCTTATTTATTAAGCGCATCAATAAATAAAGCCGTTCAAAAAAATGATAAGCCCCTCCACTCTTTTAGACTGTGACCTTAAAACTTTAAAAGAAAAAAGGAAATAAGCTATTATTTTTAATGTAAAAAAATAAAATAGTGGTCTAAATCATTTCTTTTTTTCGAAAGTAAAATTAATTATTATTTTTTTAAAGTTGGAGAAATTAATAAAAAAGAAAATTAATTTTAGCTTAAAGTTTATATCAGTTGTATGTATTTTTTTTAAGAAAAATGGTGAGTAAATAATAAATTTTTTTTTTTTATATAAATTATAATAAAAAAAATGGACAGTTATGTTTATTCAAAATAGGAAGTTATTGAAATAATTAGGTAGGAATTACAAAAAACAAAATTTACAAAACTTTTAAAAAGAAGATTCTGTACATGTTACATAATTTTATAAAGTTACAAAAGTTTATAAAGTGTTATTTAAAAATATATTTAGGTCATAGCCTTAAGAAGAAAAAGGCTGCTTTCATAGTGGAGACGGATCCAATTTTTACATCCGTTCCGTCAAAAGTCAATCTCATTAAAAATGATATATATATGTTCATAGTGCGTCCGTTCAGATACCTTTCTTCTTAAAAACGGATCTGGAAAATTTTGAAGTCAAAACATTTTGACTTTTTGATCCGGCAAATCTTATAGAGCGTTATAACGTTACTTATAATTTTTTTATAGTCTATGAACATATATATCATTTTTAATGAGATTGACTTTTGACGGAACGGATGTAAAAATCGGATCCGTCTCCACTATGAAAGCAGCCTAAGGGCTATTAAACAGGCGTGACATAAAAAAAATTCTTATATTTTATCAAGTTAGCATCTCAGAAAAAGGCATTTTGTAAAGTGACTGTTTCTGAAAAAGGGCACCCACCTATCTCCACTAATGTTGTTAAACGGCTCGATTTAAGCCAATTTTTAAAAACGGCGAACTCGATATTTTAGCCAGAAAAATATTGTATAACCCTAGAGATTTGGTTAATAGATGTTCAAACCTTTTTGCCACCTATGAGCAGAATATTAAGGCTTGCATAATATTGAGTTAGCCGTTTTTAAAAATCTGCTCAAAAGCATTTACCTTCGAAGGTAATTGAAAGAAATACTGTGATTTCCGGTAATCCTTGTGGAATAAAATTATAAGATTTTTTTTTAATTTAATAGAATTATAATATATTTTGTTTTTAAATTATTTTTTTAGGATTTAGACAAATTGAACAAGATTATAAAACAAAATCACCAAAAGTTATTCACCACTAATAATTTGGGCAGCCCAAACTCCACCTCTGCGAAGACTGATACAAATAATGATATAAATAAGGAGCCGAACCTTATAAAAAGGTTGAAATTGGATTTGTTATGCAATAATGGCAACCCATCTAACTCCGCATCACCGGGAAATTTTTCTGCCAAAAGAGGCCTTCAATTTTGAACAATACTGGGGATAGAATATTTTGCCTTTTTTTATTTTATTTTTGAGGATTTACAAAGAAAAAGTCTTCTATAAACAAATTCATTTGCATATTTTTTTTATATATAAATACAATTATTTCATATATATTGTAAATATTGAATTATATATATCCGACAATATTGTATTCAAAAAAAAAGAATAATTCGGTTTTCCTTGTTAACTTATTATTTTATTTATATTTATTCTCTGTATAATATTGATTTATTTTTTTAATAAAATAAATAATATTATTTTTTTTACAATGATTATAGCCTATTTTTAAATTACCATAAAGCAATGTAAAGTTTTCAAATGGCATTTAGGTTGAGGCAGAAATTGGGGGGGGGGCTCTATGCCCATTGAATAATTGGTGGGGGAAATTGAGAGATAAGCATTTAAGTTTGGATAGCAATCGTGCCTCTGGAATAAAAAATAGAAATATACAACATGAACCTCGTGGGTTCTTTATTCAATAAAATAAAATTAAACTTAATTATTTAAGTTCTTCCTCAGCCAAATAGATCTGCACTCAAATGATAGCATGGAATTTTCTGTGAACAATTTTCATGCGCTAAATTATTGATGGGTCAAATAGACATGCGCCGAAATTGCCAGACAGATTAAAATCTATAATTGTGAATTATTTATCTCAGCCACAGAAGATACAACTAAGAGAAAAATTTAACGACTAAGCCTTCCCACCCCCTTCTCCGTGATCTAGTCGGTAGAAGATTTGATGTTTAAAATATGAACAATTGAAGCAAATTCAAGTACACTAATGCAAGATTTAGCAGTATTAGTAAAGCAATATAAAAAAAGCCGTTAAATCTGGCCGAATGATTGTTTTTAGAATGCGTATTGAGCATGGGGATCACGTGACTATTCCCATCACTTTGGTAACTGGTAACATGCGACCCTGGTTTACAAATTGTTCGTCTACTAAAAAAAAAATTTGAAGGAAAAGGGGCAGAAATTTACCACGTTATGAGCTTTGAAATATATATTGGGGGCCTCAGGCCTGGCCTGTATAATGTTTTGTCCAAGGTACCTTGCTGGGTTTAAAAGTCGTAGCTGAACTCTTGGAAGCTGCACGGAATTCTACTTCGTAAGAAAATGGGTGTTTTAATAGATTACGATAAAAATTCTCTCTTTATGATACGGTTTAGCGTAGATATTAACGGAATCAATTTAATTTGCGCGTTCAAAGATTATTGATGGAAAATAACGTTCATACTATCTTCTTTTTTTTAAAAAAAAAGCTATGTATTAAACTTCCAAGCTAGGCCCATGGTCCTTTCCTATTCAATTTAAAACACAATTCCTAACTTAATTACTATTGACTGGGAATCCTTTTGCTAACTAAAAGAAATAATAACATTTAGTAAAACTGAATATTCATACCTCTCCAGAAACTCCACTAATACAACTGTACAGTTACAGAATTTTTTTCATTTGATATTCCTCTCCCTCCGATAAAATTAAAGTAGCCTTGTTTCGTTTGAATTCCATAAATTCTCAGACAACAAATTTAATTAGTAATATTTTGGCATCGTAACTAATTACTTATTTAGTAGAAAGAAAAAAGGAAGTTTTTTTTCTGGAAACGCGATTAGCTCATATGGTTACACAAACAAGAAACAATATAGTAGCATAAACCAATTTAAAAATTTTTTTTTAAATTGAAACCAATTCTAACAAAAGCGCAATAATTTATATTAAGTATGTCTCGTGATTCCCAGAATGAAGTGACTTAAAGAGGAGGATTTTATCATTATCACATTTCACGGCCGTACAAGATTGACTGGTGTCGTTAAGGAGAGATTATTCGTTTTACTTTTATTTATATTGTATTGAAATTATAGTTATAATATTTGGCGTTTTTAGGTAAAATTATATTTTGATTTAGCCCTTTTTAAAAATCTTCAAAATTAAGCTGTTGTAGAACATTACATTCTTCCATAAACATTGTAAATATATTATTTGAAATTATTAACTTTTGGAGAATAAAAATAAATAAAATACACTTAATTATTCGCGAATGTTAGTTGGTATTATTAAAAATAGAATATAGATACATTTATGACATTGATACAATGATAAAGAGTAAATAAAAATTATATAAATATTGGATCGGTTTTTTTAGTAATATCAGATCGGTGAAAAATTTGTGTCTACACAGCCCTAGATTATATAACCCGTCTGTTTTCAATTTGTTCAAAATTATTACGCATTTTTAAAACATAAGTTTAAATATACTATTTCTATAGAACATTCTTTCTATAAATATATATACATTATTTATAATGAAATATTCATGTCAACTTATCTGCCTTTTCATAGTTATTCTAATGAATGAGATATGTCACTTAGATGCCAGTGTTAATTTGGAATCGGAAATGGAAGAATATAATTTATATCATCCAAGGGATCTCGCGAGACAAAATAAGTAAGAAGAAAAAATAACGCGAATTATATAATTATTCATATAAGATAATCAGGTATATAAATATGATAACCTTATTGGTGATATATTTAAGGGGACGTAGTAAGCTCCAGAAGTAAATCTCTAGTTGTTTAAAGTTACTTTTAAAAATTAAATAATTACGGTTACAAATCCTTCAGAGTTAATTAAAGGTTACAAGTTATATTTTGTTAAAGTAATTAAGTTACATGGAAATTTACCTTAATTTATTTTTTTGTAAACTTTTATTTGATTTTAAAATTATTTTCATTAGTATCGACCTGATCGTTTTTCTCAAAATAATAAGCTTTCAGCTGGAGCGCATAATGTAAATAATAATAAACGGTAACTTAAAATTCGGGAAATTGATTGATATGTTATTAATGTTTAAAATTTTAAAAAATAATTAGTTATAGTTATTTTGTCGTTACATCTCAAAAAAATGTAACTTTTGGTTTTGATGGTAAAAATCAACGTTCCGAAGGCAAGAGGAGATAGTATTTTAAACATCTCCGGTTTGTCGTGAGGTTTCATACATAAACACATGAGGAAATGTATAACATGCTTGGGATAAACATGTAATCAAGGTGAAAATGAAAAAATAATCGGTACCATGCGTATAGAAAGATTGTAGACGATTGAATTTAGTATTTTATTATATAAAAGTGCAATAAGGCAGTATAAATGCGAAAGCCAAAAGATGCAAAACATTGTGTTTAAAAAAATATGATTATAATCAAACTGTTTCAGTCGCTTAAAATTTCTTTTTCAGATTTGAAAGATTTCATAAATAATAAAAATTTAATGACAAAAAATAATAATTTTTTCTAAAATATAAGTTTTTCAGAGAAAAGGCATTAAAAAGAAAATTTACAGTAAAACCAATGTATAGTTAACCCAAGGAAGGAGAATATTAAATTAATAGTGAGGATATTATATTAATTTTTTTGAAAAAACTAATGCCACTCTAAATTCTCAAACAAAAAATTTTGTTTAATAAAAATTATATGCCATAAAAGTTATTTTTATTTCATGTATATTAAAATTTTAATTTACTCAATAATAATGAGTAAGTTATCTTCCTATAAAAAAATAACGAATTATTTAAAAATTATTGTTAGAAAAACAAGATGTTTCTCTTTTAAAAAATGTAACCTGGCCAAAGGCTTGTAAAAAGTGGGTCTATAGTCCTCCAGTAAAATATAGTGAGAAGGAAGCTACCCAAAAGTATTTTCCCCTTATAGAAAATCATGGTAGCAGTCCTTAGTTTAATCGATGCCATAAATTATAACTTGAATGTTTTCAATTTTGATGAAATATCTAATGTTTTAATGTATTATTATATCCAAGAGAAATTGAGAAGAGAATTCAAAAGAGGTGTCTAGGTCATAATGGATTTTGTATGACTACACCTGATTGTTGTGCAGGATGTAAATGCAATATGTTTCTCTGTATATGGTAAAATATTATTTCTTAAATTTGATATTTCAAAATGGTTTTGACCAAACTGTAAATACATAGGTAAACTGCTAATGTCTAGGGTTAGTAAAAATGACTGAGTAAACTGCAATTGTTTAGGTAAAAAAAAAATTCTATATCCTCTATAAATTCAGTTGAAATTCATTTTCTTATGTTTTAAACAAGTTACGAAAATTAATTACTAGACATATTCGAAAATAAATTAATTTAAATTAATAATAATTATTTTTTATTTAATAGATTATTATATTGTATAAATCTTTTATTAAATAATATTCAAACCGCATGTTGGAGTTGATTGGTTTTAATTTAAAACTTTATTTAAATATGTAAAATTGCTAATATATATTATTCTAAAATTTAAACTATAAAAGTTAAAGTATACAATATATTCATTCGCCGGTAAATTGTGAATATTACAATATACAATTATGCCATATGATATTGAATAGTACAAAGTGAACATTTAATTACGATTTATATTATTATTATTATTTGAACTTGATATATTTAAAAGTTTTATAATAAATTCTTTATACAAATTTATATGATACGTCTTTCGTTAGAATCGTATTTATATTAATATTTTGGCAACAATAAAAAATATTCATTCATTTTACCTTTTTTTAGGTTAATGATATTTACACAAAGAAAATACCGAGCGAATCGTGATTTTACAATTTTTATTTGATACATACTACTAAAAAAAATATGATCATTGCTAGGATTCGAACCCACAACTATCGGATTGGATCTCTTGCCCATTAGGCCACTGACGCTTTCCAAAAATGACTATTTTTCAAATATATATTATAAATATATTCGGTAGTGCCTATCCAAATGAAAAATAAACAAAATACAAATTTGATAGGTAATACCTCAAGGTAGTAAGCATCATTAACCTTTTTTACGGATAATGATAATGTAATTTTGAACGTTATTTATTTTTTTTATCTGTTTTATTACTATCTTAGATTTTCTTATGTATAATGAGACAAATTAAAGATAAGATAAGTGCATCAGCTTCAGTCAAACATATTTGTAATATGCTATTTAATCATATAAATCATTTTAACATTATTATACGAAAAAATTATACCATTAAGCATATTATTTAATATCCTTACTGCACATCAATCCTTTTTTTATGTAAAAACTATTTTAATATTTACAAAATCCTTTACCCCTCAGATCAATGCAGGGATTTGCTAGTTT